CATCCGCTCAGTCAGGAGCAGATAAAGGCCAACAATAACACGAGCCCAGTAAGAAGCATAGAAGATTAACACCAGTATCACGATCGGCCAGGTGGTACTATCTGGTCACGAGTTATGAGAGACCACCACTCGAGAAGGATATAACAAGAAAGAAGTCAACACCACTGAGACTGGGATACCCATGCATTTGGGAATGTATCGGCACAAGCAGAGCAGCGCATGTGCAAGACCTGACAGCGGAACAAACACACTGCAGCACTACCTCATGAGAGGCCCTGGAACACAATTAGCTAGGAGAAACATACAACCACCTATCACAGCAGAAGGTTGCCAGAAGCTAACACCAACTACTCTCAAGAAACCCTACAGTTTCTTACCGAGCATCACCATTAGTGGTGGAGATGTGCATTTAACAAGACGCTGGTGGTTTTATCCAACAGTGGGTGGACCAGCATTTTAGCTTAAGGTCCACGTAGGTAATATTCTACAAATCAATTAAAAAAAAAAAAAAAAATGCAATGGCCTGCATAGGTCTACACCAGTTATTGTGAGTTACAGTAAAGTGGTGGATTGGTGGTGACCAACACACCGAGTTTTTGAGAGAATTTAGTGTACGTATAAGATTTTCCTCGCGATATCTATTGCTACTGTTGACTGGAAGACTCAAGGAACCAGAGAGTTGCACTGTAGCTCAAAACTCGGCTCCAGGACGAGACAAGTTGGTAAAATTGCAGATTACAGCAACCAAAGAATCTGATGAGAATAAGAGTGTTCTTATTTTTTAGGTTTTTGATGCGATTGGTTCAAGTCTGACATTCGTTTTTATCGGAACTCACTCATTTTTAATTTAGCCCCCTTCAAAATAGTTCTATATACTGTGTGTTCTGAATTCAGTACTTATACAATATAACCAAACTAAACCTTACCTAACCCCCTAGTAGGGGCTCCACCCCGACCCAAACACTATGCAATAACCCTAGAGTCGCGTGGTCAGCCTCCACGAGAATATAAATAGCTTTTACAGTGTTTCTTACCTTACTCCGAGTCTGAGTCAGGGACCAGAATGCGTCGTGGGTTCCTCTGTTCTCTAAAGTTTCCTTACTTTTAGAATGAATTAATACAATAATCTTCCAATAATCGAATTCCCACCTGGCACATAATGGTTCCATGTTGCAACTGATTAAAAATGTCCCGCATCCTACCACCCACGCCGAATATTGAACGCTAATTGGTTGAATCAAATGTTGGGATTTTTACTGGATTTGGTTGGCTTCCCCATATATTTAGTGGCGCCCCCCTATAGTTGATTGATGCCCCCCTAGATTTGATTGGCTGGCACATGCACGGAGGTAAGCGAACGTACGAACACACACAATTTGAGCAACAGTGTAGGGGCAACAGGTACTCTGATTTTATTCTTTTTAAAATTCAATAACTTCCTTATTTATCAATTTGCGACAGAAATGTAATATAAGAAAATTATCATAGAAAAAATAGTTCTATCGATTGAGTGTAGTGAATTTCCGGAATTCTATGATTGCAGCAATATTACCATGTTCAGGTGATACAATTGCACAAATTTTACCGAGGAACTTGAGTTAAAGGTAATGTATGAGAGCAGCACTAACACCAGAAAGAGTTGGTAGACGGTAATTTTTCGTTAACCACCCATCACCTTTCTTCACATGAAAAATATTTTTTCGCTAGTTTTCTTGCTGTTTAAATGATTCTGACATTTATCTTTGGGGCAAATCACTTTTTTCTTTTCTTCTTTAGTTAGGTTGGGTTGGTAGGTTGGCTGGTTGGTTGGTTGGTTGGTTCCTTTGGTATGAGAATAAGTTAGGTTAGGTTAGATTAGGTTGGTTGGTTGTTTCCTTTTGGTATGAGAATAGGTTATTTTTGGTGTGTTTTACTCAAGTCTAACCTTCATTTTTGTGCAAATTAACGGTTTGTTAAAATTAAAATGGAGGAATATTAACCTATACCCCTTAGGTTAAGTTAGCTTAGCTTAGGTTACGTTACGTTTGGTTAGGTTAGGTTAGCACATGATTTCAGCGGACAGGCACATTCAAAATAATCACCAAAGAAAAATTTCCCTTTCGTATAGTGATACACCAAGAGATATTGAGACGAAATATTACCATCTTAATGCATGTCGTGGCATTACTGTCACCGAGCAGACCTGACACAGGCCACATCGTCCTGGATCTAGCAAAGGTGATGGCTACTATTTATTTTTTATTTTTACAAATTTTTTGAGGGGAGGGAGGGGGTGGGTGAGAGTACAGTGGGTCTGTTGTAAACAAGGGCAGACAATAATGAGCGGTGACACGGCAAATTTTTCGCAGGAGTATTTACGGTAAATAATCAATTTCTTCCCTTGCAAAGTATGAAGAGACGTCATTTTAGTGTCAAATGATCAGTTTTTCACCGTGTATTACCCTGCAATTTTCCTCATCTTTCATAGCCTGCCCACTACAGGTGATTTATGGTCGTAGATAGAGAAAAATACATATAATTGAAATAAAACTGTCGCCTCTTTTAAAATACTATAATGATAAGAATTTGTGTGGAAAATGAACGAAATCGAACAACACCTGATAGTTCCGAATTAAAAACTAAATTTATGATATTTCATTTATTGCCACAAAACTAATCTCGAGAATTTTATGTTTTTGCAATCAGTAGTTTTGACAATTCTAAGACACTTTTCTTCTGATATTTATGGCTCAAATTGCGTATAAGCGAGAATATTTAACATTTATTATTTATGGAAATTTACCTTTCACTTCTTGCCACAAAGCGAAACGCGAGAATTTTATAGTTGCAATCGGTAATTTTGACAATTCTAAGACACTTTTCTTCAATGGCAGTCCTGGCGCAAATTACGTTTAAGCGAGATATTTAAAATGTTATTATGTCTGTACGTGGTGGTACACACACCCAGAACATCGAACGACGTAGCAGTACACCGCAAAACATCGAACGACTGTGGAATTCCCCAGTTAGGTTAGGTTAGGTTGGTTAGGGTTTTGTTTTACCGATGGTTTTCGATGTGTTTGAACACTTTTTACCGTGATTTTAATAGCAAATCTCTAGATTCTGAAATGGGAGGGCAGCTAATCTCAGAAACAATTAATTTGCTTCGGAAATGAAGGTCAAATTCGTTCATAACACATCAAAAACCATCGGAAAAACATTGTTTCAACTTCGATTTCGTAGAGTGGCAACAAGTGAAATTTTACCCAATTTAAAACAAGAAATTATAAATAAACTGCAGAGGCCATGGCTATCCAACACAATCACTGGCTGTGAGGGGTGTTTCAAATCGCTTCGTATTTCTCTATATTTCTGTCACAAAGATGTGATTCTTCCTCAGGTGTACTCACTGTGGCCTTGGTGTTCACCTGACCTTCCCGGATACTGTTAATGGAGTTCTGGGTTCATATTCGCAGTTTCTGGTCGTAAAATTTTCTCCTGACTGTTGCTAGGTGGACGTGTTTATTTTAGGCAGAAGCTCAGTGTAAATTTGATACCCTCTTGGAGCTTAAGACCGTCTGAGGTATGTTATTACGTCGTTAAAGTTCAAGTTTAACTGTGCAGTTTGACTTTAATTTATGACAATGAAATATACCCATATATCGAAATAATGCTCTCACTTATGAGACTATACATCAAGATACGATTTTCAAGCACCAATACTGTGAATGTATTTATACAGTGCATCGTGATAATTAAGTCTTGACCTCCATAACTTTGGTGCTTCGGTAGGTTGACAAAAACCATCTCTGAACTCGGTTTTATTGTAACCAATGACCTAATGATACAATTGAAATTGAAATATTTTATTGACAATAAAAAGCTATTGCATCAAAAGGACCGGGCAGAATACTACTCCCACCCTCACTAATGATACGAATATTACTACAACACTCTCCCTTTAAATCATCTCTTAAAAAATATCAATTGTCTAAGTATTAATGTTTTGTGACACTTACTGGTACTTTATACTCTTAATTTTATTGTACCACCAAAACCATTATATCATTGTCACGTAAACAGACAAATTACCATTGCAATAATTATGTATTTGCCGTCAAGCTGTGATCCTGATCACCTTAATACAACCCATGTTGTATTGCTTCCCTCACTTATCAGATTAAAGTATATCAACTCCACTGTCAAATATGTATATACTTATAATATAAATGTATAAAAAAATAACAAATAACAAAGTGATAACCGTGGTAACATTCTCATATGTTCTTACTAACACATGTTACGTGTACTATTCCAGATGATACTAAATGTTACATAATATTTCCTTGAGATAAATGTACAGTATAAATCAGGTGCCACAAGAGGGCTCAGGCTCTCAATTGGCTCAGCTAAGTTAATATTGTTATTATTATCAACTCTGTATCTGTGTTTTTCTGGCAAAATAAACTGTTTCAATATCAATATCAGACTGTGTTGCGCTCGGTGGTTCATTCGGGTTAAATTCACTCACCTCGGTAAATTTGTCAGCCCGTCTAGACACCGAAGGTGTAAAAGCCACGACCTACTTGTCACTATGTAGAAATAGTCACAGTAATGGTGGTAGTAAATCACACCTTAAAACAGATTATATTTGGTGAGAGGAATATTCTGGAATACGTCGCAGGTTAGTCAATAAGCGCACATAGCTACAGTACACTTGCTCTGTATCAATCTACCTAACCTATGCTCTTCCATCCTAGGATAGGTATGTTAGCAGACTGGTTTATCTTATTTACGATAAATCGGTTTCTGGTTAGCGGATAATAGCGGCCGCACGGAGGTGGGGCGTTGGTGTTAGTATTCAGGACGAAAAAATCTTAAAAACCAAAGTAGGAAAGTTGCAACTCCTACAACTTTTTCTAAGGTGGCACCTTCTAACAAAGCAATGTTGTAAACTATTATCTATTAGCCCCATTCATAAATAAACAGACTTACAGTATATCAACCCCCTCCCCCCTCAGGTGGCTGCGGTGGTGGCGGCCAGCAATGCGTCAGAGTATCTGGACGCTGATGCCATCAAGAAGACAGTTCTGCCCAGGACGAAGGCCATCTATGAAAAGAACCCCACTGACGTCGCTCTCTGCCTCACCGTGTTGGGCTGTATAGAGCGGATACTGGACAAGCTGGAGCGCACCGCCATCATAGACGACGTCCTGCCCATCCTCAGCGATGTCAAGCTACAAGATGCTGATGTCACTGTGAAGGTTGTAAGTACGTAACACGATCCTCTTTTGTTCTGTGTTGTGGGGGATTATATAGAGCTCAGAGGGGATTATTGTGAAGGCCGTATATACAACTTCCCACGCTTCCACCTGCTGCAGGCAGCGTTGTCAATCATCGTCTCCGAGAGTTGTGAACCACTGGAGTGTTGACCCGTGTCCGAAGCATTCGCTCGTGACACGGAGTGGGGGACTGGGGGCCGATGTGTGAGAGGAGGGTGATGGCTTGGAAGGGTGGGGGGGTGGATGAAGAGGGTAGGAGTGGAGGTGGGCTAGGGCAATTGTGTGGTTAGCAAGACTGGATTTTTTATTATTTAAAAGCATATAATAAGTTAACCTGTTGCTTAATACACTCATAATGGCTGTGAGCTAATATTTACTCATTCTTGCTTTGTGCAACCACTGTCACCAGAACAGATCCTCACACAAACCATGTTCACACCACACTCATGATAATGACCAACAATATTCACGTTTTCTGTGTATGATATCTGTGTCCTAATTACTGCTATGAGAAGGGAGAACGTTACCTCTCCCACCTGGGGTGTGGCAGACAAGGGACGAAGTGGAGGCCACAGACCCTTAGCGGGAGTCTTATTTGCCTTATTACCCCTTGTACAGTCGATAGTCATTAACCTGTATTTTAAGTAATTAAACGTGGCAGAGCCTAATTACAGGTAACTACTGATATTTGTTTAATGAACATCCATGGCATTGGCTGTATAACCAAGTATGACAAGGAAAATAAAAGAAATGCTTAAGTCATATAATTGTCAACTTACACAAAGGTTATGCTACGAGGTGTAATATGGTTGTCATATATTTAAGAAGGAATTGACTAATAGACATGACAGTCCACAGTGGTGTATAGGGTGTGTGTGTGTGTGTGTCTCATGGGTCAGGCTAGACTAACAGGGGATCTCTGAGTAGCAGTGGGCCCCAGAGTGGTGGCAAATAGGCCCACTGGCATGTGGACACGCCCTGACGCCTACCAACCACTGCCCCGCTGCCTTGCGGATTAACCTTGGTAGGTATAAGGCTACAGGAGTAAACCCCAAACGAAAAATCTGCGGGGGAGGCCCGCACTGGGCAGACATGCTTACAGAGCTCCAACAAGACCCCAACGGTGGTATAGGCAGAAGAGGTGACCAACATGGTTACCCAACGACTACACCAGCAGACGAAGGCAATGCATGATGGACAGGCTACTAAGGCGAAACCCAACGAACTGGGCTATCGGCAGTCATTGCAACTCTCCCTCCCCCCAGTCGTTGCAACACTTGCACCACTAGATCAGGAAAAGGGAGAGCCAAGGTGTGTGGTTGCAGTCTGCACTCCTACCTCACCACATAAGTCAACTCATGCACAGTCATCATCCAGCTCATCATACTCATCATCATCATCAAAAGTCCTATGGCTACGGACGACTGGCGACGGGGACAGGCAGAGATGATTGTAGGGAATCTTCAGTCACAACTCTGCACATGGGCAACACAGATAAGATGGTCGTTTATGCACTGGGATCTAGGCATCAGTGCAACCCGATCCTGTTTGTGCGACTGAACAGCCCTTTCGAGGAGTCACACTGCTCACCCCACGTGGGGAGGAGGCTAGAAAATGTGCCCTAAACATAGCCTGCCTGAAGAACAAACCTGACTGGGCGACCGCACCCAGTAAGGTCATCCTTATGCGGTCGAAAACACAATCATAATCACAGATCAAAACTAAAACAAACTTTACAACCACTTACGGTCCCTGCATGGAATGTCAGGACCCTTCTGGATACCGGCATAAATGAGCGTCCTGAAAGAAGAACTGCCTTTGTGGCAAAAGAGCTGGCTCGGTATAACATCGACATAGCAGCAATTAGTGAGTCCCTGCTCCCAGACGAGGGTCGACTCACAGAATTGGGGTCTGGCTATACCCTCTGAAAGGGTAATTTTGCTGCGGAGAAAATCACATTTATGGAGTTGGCTTTGCCTTCCGCCAACGCATCCAACGTATGCTAACTGAAATGCCTCTTGGAATCAACGAGTGCCTCATGACGCTCCAAGTTCCACTGAATCACTCGCGTCATGCCTTTTTCATCAGTGCATACACCCCATATCTGGATTCAGAGAGTGACATCAAGGAGGCATTTTACGCTGATCTCGACAGAGTGCTAACCTCTATTCTTAGAGAAAATAAGATTGTGCTGCTTGGTGACTTTAATGCCGGAGTTGGCAGAGATGCTGACATTTGGCAAGGAACCATAGGGAGAAATGGACTAGGCAACTGTAGTCCCAAAGGCCTACTCCTCAGCAAGTGTGCTGCACACAACCTCACTATCATCAATACCTTATTTAGGGAAGCAGACAAGTTCAAGGGTTCATGGCAACACCCACGATCCAAACACTGGCATCTCATTGACTTTATGATTGTCAGAGAGAGATCGTCGAGATGTCCTCATCACTCCAGCCATGCATGGCTCAGACAACTGCGACACTGATCATCGGCTTGTCAGAGCCAAGCTCTCACTTCACGTCGCCCCAAAACGGCGAAGGCAACAAACCTTCGGAAGAGGTTTTAACACTTAAGCGTCTGGAGGATCAGGCGGTAGCATATACTTTCAGAGAGCTGTTCGAACATTGGCTGATAAACAACCCGGCAAAAAACAACCCAAATCCCAGTGCCGAATGGGGTATTCTCGACACTGTCATAACAAAAACATGCAGAGAAGGTCATGTACAGGTCACGACGCTGTTCTCTGCACTTTTCCTGTATCTGGCGGGCAGCAAAGATCATGTCAGTGGTGCCACATGATGGTCTAAAACCACACTGAGATTCTGGGAGGAAGTTTTCCGCCACAGGAAGAAGTCTGTTTAGGAGGACTCGGGCGATAATCTTGCCAGCTACGGACAGCAGCGAGATTCCGCGGTAGTTGCCACAGTCTGACTGGTCTCCCATGTTCTTATAAATATTGTCGATGGAGGCGTCTTTAAGAGCTTGGGGGATTTCCTCCTTTTCTCATATATTCTCCGGGAGAGAGTGGAGACGGCTGGTAAGCAGAGGTCCTCCTGCTTTATACACCTCAGCTGAGATTCCATGAGGCCCTGAGTCTTTATTACTTTTCATCTGTTTGATGGCAGTAACTACCTCATCCAGGGATGGAGGATAGGTGAGGTGGGTCAGCTTTGGACGCTGAGGGTCCTGCTGGGTAGTCAGGACATCCACATCGGTGTTTCGGTTGAGTAATGAATGGTAGTGCTCGTGCCAGTGCCAATTTAACCGGCTGGGTGAACATCGAGTACCGGGTGAAGGGTCTTTTAAACTTTATGACTCCAGACAGGAACAAAGGTATCGGCAGCTTCCTTTACTGAACTTCAATATCCAAACGACTTCACCCTTGTCGCTCACACAGGACACAGCCGACAGCAGATCTTGAACACCTACGCAGATGCGAATGCACACTTCGGCCTTGAGGCGAATGTGCGTAAGACTCAGATTCTCTTTCAACCTGCCCCTGGTTCAAGCCTTTGGCAGACTCCATACCCGTGTCTTCAGCTGTAGGGAGCTGAAATTATCTAAAAGTTGCACGTGTATCGAGCAGTGGTCCTCCCCACTCTGCTATATGGCACCAAGACATGCGTCACATACAGGAGGCACCCCATGGCACTTGAAAACTTTCACCAACGTAGTCTACGTTCCATCCACCGAGTTCGCTGAAAAGACAAGATAACAAATGGCAGTTTCGCTGACACCAACTGTAGGAGCATCAAGGCTACCATTATCCATGAACAGCAATAAGCTGGACTGGCCATGTTAATAGCCTGGATGAGAGTAGACTGCCAAAGCAGCTACTTTAGTCACCTAACGAATAGTATACATAACGCTGGCGGGCAACTGAAAAGGTATGATGATAGTCTTAAGACAAACCTGAAAAAAGTGCCAAATCGTCCCCCTCAACTGGGAGACGATTACTCCACAATTCACTAAGTTTACCCTCCATACTATTAACCGGCCATAAAAATTTTCCCAGTGCGCAATTTTGTGCACTACATCCGGTGTGGGTGGCCCGGCCCGCCAGCAGTTCAGTCTTATATATATATATATATATATATATATATATATATATATATATATATATATATATATATATATATATATATATATATATATATATATATATAAATACTAGCGGAATCGCTGCCCTCCGGGCGGCTCTTTCGCTAGGCCACGGTAGGACGCCACCCTCCGGGAGGCTCCACATTGCCTCACTGTAGTGCATTAAGGTAGAACACATTTTTGGTTTTGCCATTAGCAGCAAGTATGTACAGATTTTTGTCAGTTCCTACTCTGGAGCATCCAACATAGAATTGTCCATGAGAGAAGTAAGGAAACACCAGGTTTTGGCCAACCATCTTTAGGGACTGTCCCTCACTTTTGTAGATGGTCATGGCAAAGCTCACTTTAACCGGGAACTGAAGCCGCTTGAATTCAAATGGCAGGTCAGTGGTGATGAGGGGTATCCTTGGTATAAAAACGTCCTCTCCTTTAGCTTTTCCTGTCAGGATTGTAGCTTCCAGTACATGTGGCATCATGTTCTTCACTACCAGTCTTGTGCCATTGCAGAGAATTGGTGGTTCAAGATTTCTTAAGAGCATTATAGGAGTTCCAATCTTGAGAGTGAGGTGGTGAGGAGGCATTCCAGCGGGCTCCAAAGAATTAAGGAATTCTGCAGGGTACTGGACTGCTTGGTCCTGGTCGATTACTGTATCAACAGATTTGAATGAGGTCTCACTGCCTGGAAGCTGTCTGAGTAGAGTCATGTTGATTTCAGCCACCGTTTCATTCTTTGGTGCAAGAATTGCGCATTCACGCAGCCACTTGTGATCCTTGTAGTGGTGGATAATGTTTGGGTAGACCATGTTAGTGAGCTCAGTTGAGGACTTTACAACATTTACACATCCTTGAGGAATAATTATTTGTCCTTCTGAATCAACAGGGAAAGTT